TCTCTCTCTCTCTCTCTCTCTCTCTGCCCCTCCCTGGCTTGCACTGTCTCTCTCTCAAAAATAAATAAACATTAACAAATTTTTAAAATAAATAAATAAACATTAAAAAAATTTAAAAAATTCTTAATGCAGATTCCTAGGATTTACCCACAAGGATTCTGAATCCATCAGTTCTAAGCCCTCCAACAGGCATTGATTGTTAAGATGTGGCCCAGGTATATTTGATTCATGAGGTTTCCAGCCTGGCACCAGAAAATGCAGATATCTGACACTTTACATTTCCATAGGAGTGAGAAAGGCAGATTCCACTGGAAGAAAAGGTAGATTCAGCGGGTAAAGAAGATGTGGTTTATATATACGATGGAATACTACTTGGCAATGAGAAAGGATGAAATCATGCCATTTGCAGCAACGTGGATGGAACTGGAGGGTATTGTGCTAAGTGAAATAAGTCAGGCAGAGAAAGACGGGTATCATATGTTTTCACATATGATAAACTTGTTTCACATACGAGAAACTTAATGGAAGACCACGGGGGAAGAGAAGGAGAAAAATAGTTACAGAGTGGGGGGACGCAAGCCACAAGAGACTCTTAAAAACAGAGAACAAACTGAGGGCTTATGGGGGACGGGGGAGAGGGGAACATGGGTGATGGGCATCGAGGAGGGCACTTGTTGGGATGAGCACTGGGTGTTGTATGTAAGCGATGAACCAAGGGAATCTACCCCCAAAACCAAGAGCACACTATACCCACTGTATGTTAGCCAATTTGACAATAAATTATATTTAAAAAAAAAGAAAAAGAAAAGGTAAATTCAGGGCTGGGCGGCCAAAAACAATGCTCAGCGCGCACAAAACTCAGACCAACCTCTCTGTAACGAGCTTCTGAATGTCTCCGATGTTTAATGCAGTATATCTTAAACACCAGAATCTAGTCACTCCTCGTAGATGCAAACCGATCACTGTTAAGTCCCACATGAAAAGTTATTTCTAGTTCATAAATAGAAACCAACTCCCCTCAATCTAAGATGAAAGACGTTTACAGACTGTTCGGTCAACATATTTTTTTTTCTTTTTTTTTGCACCATTAACTACTCAGTGACAGCGTTCCTGTCTTAATATGCTTTTTAATCTCTAACCCTAGCACTCATCAGTTTCAATACAAACAATTACCCAAGTCCGCATAACCAGGTTGTGTTCTCTGGACCAGTAGCTGTCAAAGTGTAGGGTCCCCAACATCCTTGTAAGGGATGTGCTAGGTCAGTGTTATTTTCATAATACCGTGAAAACATTGTTTGCTCCGTTACCATCGCCCTGTCACAACTCTGCAGTGGAGACTTTCAGACGGTGTAAGTGAATGGAATACTTCTTTGCATATTCCTGTAAATGTTTTAATTTTTAATACAGTAAACCTAAATCAATATGGCCCACGTGAGCAAAGCTTTTCGGTATCCTTGGTAATTTTCAAGAGTGCAGCGGGGTCCCGAGACCAAGAAGTTTGGAGACGGCCGCTCTAGACCAGCTGTGAGAACAAACAAGACAAAACCAAAGCTCGCCAGGCTCCTTGAGTCTAACCAGAAACGCAGTGAGCCAGAAGAATCTAAAAGAGAGAAACTACATGTTGAGTATCACCTTCCACTTGTGCTGCTGGGGTCCTGCTAAAATAATTAAAAAGCTGAGGGCACGGGGGCACCTGGGTGACTCAGTGGGTTAAGCATCCGGCTCTTGATTTCGACTCAGGTCATGATCCCGAGGTCAGGGGATGGAGCCCCACAGGATCGGGCTCCACGCTGGGCGTGATTCTCTCTCTCTCTCTCTGTCTCTCTCTCAAGATTCTCTCTCCCTCTGCGCCACTTCCCCATCCTCTCACTCTCTCAAGTGAAAAATAAAATAAAATAAATAAATAAATAAATAAATAAATAAATAAACAAACAAACCGAGGGCACAGTGAGAGGTGCCTGACCTCACAGAACCCGAGACCCAGAAGA